AGCGCCCCCTGCTGGCCCCACTAACACCTCTTCCAGCAGCAACCTTAGTTTTTCCCAGGAGGTCTCCCATCCAGGTACTGACCAGGCTCACACCTACTGAGCTTCAGTGGGCTGCCAGTTGTGTGTTGCAGAGTGATATGGTTGTGGCTAAACAACAGGTACAAACACCGACACACCGAGAAATAGCTCTCCACATGCAGAATTGAACCCAGACCCCCAGAGTTGTGAGACAGCAATACTAGCCACTGTGCTGCCCGTAAGGCTCTCGGTATATTATTGTTTCATTTGCAATTTGTCCTTAATTGTCTAACTTACACTGAAGATATTGATAGAAATATACATATTTCAACGGAGAGCATTACAGTATTGCAGATGTTGAAGAAATGTGGGCAATAAGATACAGCTTCTTTATAAATTCCACCTACAGTGTTGGCAGGAAATGAGTCTGAATGGAAAAATCTGGGCCCTGTCTGACAGTTGCTTGATTCACAGTCAGCGGCAGTGAAAACAAACAAGGTTCTGAGCTACTATTGTACACACTCCCCTGATAACCTCTGACCTCGTGACAAACACTTCTAGCCTTTATGCCCTTGGCTTTGTTTCAGGACATCACAGCGAAGGACAGACAGAATGTGAAAGTGGGGGATGGACAGCAGACAGAAAAACAAATCTGTCAGACTGAGGGCTCTCTTTGATAAGACTAGGTGTATCATAATAAGATTTTCAACCAACCTTAACAAATAATTAAAAATTGCACATCCCTTTCTTCTTGTTTTCTCTGCAGGACTTGAAGTATTTGTTGGGCTCCTGTTTTTATTCATTCTCTTCCAAGCTGGAAGTCTCTCCGACTGGATACCCACAGACAGGGAGTTATTGATGAGCACGGCTTTATCTTAATATTTTCCATAACTGTTGGTGGTGAGAGGTTTTGGATTTATCTATTGTGTTTGGCGGCATTCCAAGAAAAACAGAAGAAAAAGCTCCAGACAGGCTTTCTCTGCCATTGGCTTTCTCTGCCTCAGCTGAAGGCTGGGGGCAAGGTGGCAGAGGACTGCGAGGAGTGAGGAGTCAGGTATGATAAAAAAATCAGAAAAAAGACGGTACTTGAATTTTGCCGTAATTATGTCCTCATAATATTAAAGGACACACAAAATTCATCTCCTCATTTCCTCAGCCTGACATGTACATCTTACTGGTTCCGAAAGAGGTGGGAGTGTACAGCATCTTAAAATACTACCTGAGCAGAGATTTCATGTACTTCAGTTTGAGAGGTTTTGAGGCTCGCACATGTGGACCGGAAAACAAGCAGAAGGCTGTCCACATCATGATACTAAATGGGTAACATAGTTAAGTAAGTCATTTTGTTGGCTGACAGAAAGCATTGACTTTTGCAGTTTCTCCTGTAGAAAGTCATGTATCCATAATTTGGGTGGGTGTTCTCACTGTTCACCACAACATCAGACGTGAAGGACAGTGTTGGACAAAACGACCTCATCAACCTCTGTTCTAAAAAAACTGATTGTATCACCATGGAGATACTTCTCCAACCAAGGACTGAGTCACCTGCACTGTGTAGATGGATCCATACATCCTCAAGAGGAATGTCGAAACACGTAAATATCTGCCTCACTAGAAGGTCCATAAATATCAACATGGAAATCGGAAGGGAACCTTGATCTTCTGATCTTAAAATAACACTGAAGTGAGGTTCACATCCAAAGCCTTGCGACCCTGTTAGGGTGATGCGATATTTTTTCCACTTCTCTGGGCCCCCCCCCTCAAAAGAAACGCCGGACAAACAGCGCTACCTTGGCAGGTCCTCTCATCAGTCAGCAGTTTGTAGCCCTTCTTGCAGCTGCACTCAAAGCTGCCCACCGTGTTCCGACACACATGGTCACAGCCACCGTTGTTGAGACGACACTCATCGATGTCTGTACAGGGAAGCACATTAGGTAAAGATTAGCAATAACTGTACACACCGTGATCAGAAATATTTAGCAATCCTAGGCTTTGGGAAGCACTGGAAGTGGTTAAAACCCAGGTTACTCAGAGGCTGTCGATTGGCGTGATTAGTGTTCTAGGACTGAAGTAAACAGCACTCATTGTGGGTGTCCCATGCTTGAATGAACTTTGAGGAAGATATCTGACTGTCTCATTGAGGTAGATAAATAAGTTTAATTAAACTGCACTGCAATGAGACTCAGTACTCACAGACTTTGTAAGATGTGAGATCCTCGTTTTACTACATATTGTTTAACAAGTTTCAAACAGAGAGAGAGAAGAGAGGGAGTGAGATACAGACAGCTCACTGGCACTAGGAGAGCCATGCAACTATTAACATAAAAATTGCATATCAATATGAAAGAGAATTAACTGCAATCAAAAAAGTCCTTAATGTAGGGGTTTACCATTTCTTATAAGACTCTGGCAAAGGAGCAGCTTCAGAGATGAAACGTTTTCTTTACTAGTATTTTATTTCTGCTTGTTGATAGTGATTAGAGTGTTAATGCAGATCTAGATAAAACTAGTAGCCAGATAAAACAGTTTTCGTTGTGTCAGCATGACGACTCAAACATGTACCTCTTTAAAATCATTTTCATGCACCCGGTATGGATGCGTCTGAGAATGTATTGTTTCTAAGGTGCTTGGTGTCACTTTTCGATTTAAATGATCTGACCATTTTTTAGATTTAAATACTGTCAGTCACATCTGCAAAAGCATACAACATTCCAAAGCAATGCTTACAGAGAAATCAATTCCCAGCATACAGAACATAGCAACATATCGTAGTTTTTGTCATATTCTTAAACTTAAAATGGAAAACTAAAAGGAATGAATGATCTTAAACCCTGTGACAGTGAAGATTAAGGAGCAGCTTATTTCCTGGACTAAAATGTGAAGAAGAAAAAATATAAAGACGGCATGGTCTACTGTTAGGTTTTTTTTTT